GTATGTGGGCTCCGACCCCTCGGCGGGAGCGCTGCCGCGCTTCCCAAGCGGCGCACTAGCGCAGTGCGCCACCGGGCCGGCCCCTCATTTTTTCTTATTTTGGTCTTTTCTCTTTTTTTAGTTAGTCTACCTAATGGTTTGTCTATTTTGTTTATCTTCTTAAAAAACAACTTTTTGTTTCATCTTTTGTATCATTTTTGGGTCTCTATTTCATTTAGTTTTGCTCTGATCTTAATTATTTCTTTCCGTCTACTAATTTTGGGATTGGATTGTTGTTGTGTTTGTAGTTCTTTGAGGTGAAACTTTAGGTTGTTTATTTGAAGTCCTTCTGTTCTTTTGATGTAAGCATTTATTGCCTTAAACTTCCCTCTTAGTACTGCTTTTGCAGTATCCGACAGGTTTTGGTATGATGTGTCCTTATTTTCATTAGTTTCAAGATGCTTTTTGATTTCCTGTTTAATTTCTTCTTTGACCCACAGGTTGTTCATGAGCACATTTTTTTAGTTTCCATGTGTTTGTATGGTTTCCAAAGTTTTGCTTGTTATTGATTTCTAATTTTAATTTTAATCTATTGTGGTCCGAAAGGATATTTGAAATGTAAAATTTGTTTCAACTTGATGTGTGACCTAACATGGTCTGTCCTGGATAATGTTCCATGTGCTGATGAGAAAAAAGTATATTCTGTAGTTGTTGGATGAAATGTTCTGTCAATGTCTGCCATATTCAGTTGATCTATAGTTTAACTTCTTTGTTTCTCTGTTAATTTGTTGCCTATATGGTCTGCCTAATGTTGAGAGAGGGGTGTGAGGTCCCTAGCTATTATTGGAGTGTTGGAGTCTATCTCTCTCTTTAGGTCTAACAGTGTTTTCTTTACATATCCAGGTGCTCCAATGTTGGGTGTGTATATATTTATGATTGTCATGTCTTCTTGCTGGATAGATCCCTATATTATTATATAATGACCTTCTTTGTCTCTTTATATGGTTTTCTTGTTTAAAGTCTATTTCATCTGACATAAGAATAGCTTCTCCTGCTTGTTTTTTGGTTTCTATTTGCATGGTATATCTTTTTCCATTTTATCATTATTAGTCTGTGCGAGTATTTATAGGTGAGGTGAGTTTCTTGAAGACAGCATATAGTTGGTTCTAGTTTTTTAATCCAATCATGTAGTCTCTGTTTTTTGAGTGGGGAATTCAATCCATTTATGTTTAGGGTTGTTAGAGAAAGGTATTGTCTTACTCCTGGCATTTCATTGATATTTATTTGGTTGTTTCAAATATCTTTTGTTCCTTTCTTTCCCTTTTATTGTTTGTCTTTGATGTTTGTTGGTTTTTTGAGGTGGTAAGATAGTTTCTTTTTCTCATTTGCATATCTGCTCTACCAGTGGGATTTGTTTTTCCTCGTGTATTCATGGTAGTGATTATCTCTTTTTGGATTCCAAATGCAGGACTCCATTGAGGATTTCTTCTAGTGCTGGTTGTGTGGTGGTGAACTCTTGCAGGTTTCATTTGTCTAGGAAATATACTATTTCTCCTTTATTTCTGAAGGATAGACTTCCTAGTTATAGTATTCTTGGCTGGTAGTTTTTTCTTTTAGTACTTTGAATATATCATTTCATTCTCTTCTGGCCAGTAGAATTTCTACTGAGAAGTTTGCTATTAGTTGATGGGAACTCCCTTATAGGTAAGTTGACACTTTTGTCTTGCTGTTTTCAGGATTCTTTCTTTGTCTTTGATTTTTTGCCAATTTGAGTATAATGTGTCTTGGAGCAGACCTTTTTGGATTGAATCTTTTTGGGTATCTTTAAGCCTCTTGGATCTGAAAGTCTGTATCTCTCCCAGTACCTGGGAATTTTTCTGCTATAATTTCATTGAATAGGTTTTTGAAGCTTTTTCTTTTTTCTTCTCTATCTGGAACACCCATGAATCACATGTTTGTGTGCTTAAGGTTGTTCGATACCTGTCATAAATTTTCTTTAGTTTTTTAAACTTTTTTCTTCTTTTTTTTTGTCTGCTTGAGTTATTTCAAAAAAACTGTCTTCAAGATCAGAAATTCTTCTGCTTGCTCTAACCTGGTGCTTAAGCTCTCAGCTGTATTTTTTATTGCATTGAATAAATTCTTCAGTTACAGGAGTTCCTTTCTTTTTTAAGATATCTATGTCTTTGTAAAATTCCTCCTTTGTATCCTGTTTTTTTTTTTTTTTATGTTGTTGTTGTTGTTGTTGTTGTGTCATCTTAAGTCTTCATGTATCTCATTGAGTTTCCTTAAGATTGTTTCTCAGAATTCCTTTTCAGTCATTTCAAAGATTTCCTGCTGTTTCTGGTCTGGGACATGAGAATTATAGTGTTCCTTTAGTGGTGTCATATTTTCCTGTTTTTTTGTATTTCTAATATCTCTTTGTTGATGTCTGACCATCTGGTATAGCAGTTGCTTTTTCTATTACTCTGGAGTTGGCCTTCAGGAGAGTGATTTCCCCCTGTAGATATGTTTTATATTGACCATTGGGTAGGGTGTTTTAGTATTGGTTCTTGGAAGATGCAGTAGTGTAGTCTCTGAGTGGGTATCTTTACTGTATTCAGTGTTAGAGTTGCATGTGAGTGCCTTCATGGCCTAGGCACGGGAGCACATAGTGGACCCTTGCTGAAGTGAATGACACTGTTGAGTTGTAGAGGACATGGGCAAGATCTCAAGTTCTTGGAAAAAGTGCCTGGGTGCCCTGTCACTCCCTGGCCAAGTGGTTGACCTGGGTGAACTTTTTGGCACCCTAGCTAGTGTCATTGACCCTGAAAGGTGCACTGGGGTATACTGAAGCTCCTCAGCTTGAATGAGTGATCCTGGGTGGGATTTCTCTTTCCTGCATTCAGAGGCTCTTTCTGGGTTCTTGTTTCTTCTAATGGGGGATGAGGTGGTAGCTGTGAATTTTTTTCCATAGTCTATTTGGCTGTCCTGGGTTTCTGCAGTCACCGACAGCTCCACACATGTCTTTCCCTGGGTCAAAGGCAGTCGTGTGGGCTGTGCAAGTAGTTCCCACCCCGGTGTGTGGGACTGTGGGGGCAGCCTAATTCTGTCTGTGGGTTGAGCCGCTGGGTCATGTGGTTGTGCTTGCTCACCTCTTTCTGGCTGCTCTGCCCGTGAACCTCCCTTTTTCAATGAAGTTGTGTGGTTAGCTGTGGCAGCAGTGGTTGTGGGAGCTTCACAGTGGTGGGGAAGGGGTGTGACTGTGGCCCAGAACTACTTTAAAAAATTTTTTATGGTGGCTGGCTGGTAAGGGGATCTGAATCCTTGACTTTGGTGTTACAATACTGTATTGTAACCAACTGGGCTGACTTGCCAGCTCCATGTCTCTCATAGGTAAAGTTATGTGCATACTAGGTTAAAGTTAGATGAGGGATATGTACTTTTTTGGGTTAGTTGAGGAAGGTAATTGTGCTCTAAAGCTATGTGTTATTGAACTGTTGGCAAACTAATTCAGTGGCTATCGATTACAGACTACTGTTAGTTAGATCTTATGTTGGCAGAGTCTTTTATAGTTTTTGGAGAAGGGAAGCAGTGTGGCAGAGTGGCAAGAACTTTGGACTAAGAATCAGAAGACCTTGGTTCTGGTCCCACTTCCCATATATAAACTTGGGCAAGTCACTTCCTTCTCACCTTCATTTTTTATTTTTGTAAAATGGTCATGATCATACTTGTTTTGCCTAATTACAGCCTCAGATTGGTGAAGTGACTTGACTGTAGTATTCTTTCTGAGGGTGCAGGGTGGAGCACCTAGGTCTTCTGAGTGCTTGTCCATTGGTCTTTAATTATAGCATGCGGGAATGTGGTTTAGTAGATGGGGAGAGGGGTGATTTGTGAGTTATGAAGTGAACCAAACTTAGAGTATATGTGGAGTACATTCAGAATTGATGAGCAGGGAGGGCAAGTAGAGGGATAGGAGAGGTGGAAGTCTTAGGCAGACAGAGAGAGCCTCAATGTCTGAATTCCAAGTGTGGGAGAGGTAGATATTGGAATAAAGATAGAAAATACTGCATGTTTGTTTCTTAGCAATCTTTTTTCTTTTCTTGTTTTGTAGGGGATTTGTGGGGCCCTTTGATCCTTTGTGTGACACTTGCATTGTAAGTACTTATATTTTTTTTCTTCATTGTTTGAGCTAGACTAGACTTTTTTGTGGAGTTTCAAAATTAAGGGGAAATTTGGCAGAATATTTTATTTAGGACTTTTATGACTAAATATATTGTACTCCTTATGTGTCTAAACCTGGAAAGGCAAGTAGCATTCCAGATCAATTAAAAAATAGTGGAATTAAAGATGTGAAAATTATGCCCACCTTTGTTTAATGACTTCTTAGTCCGTTTTAGCCATGTCTATTCAATAAACATTTATTTACTCTCGTGCACCTCCCCATCATTAAAATAAATCAAGTATCTATAGGTTTAAGGACCGTTTGCTTACAACATAATTCTCTTTAAAACTTAACCAAAAATATGGACATAAATGAGAATAAATAAAGCAAGTGGTACAGTTAAAAGCAAGATCACACTGTTTCAAAGTGTTATGCTTTCCCATATACATTGTATGTAAAGGGGGAGGATAGAAGAAGGAGAGGAAGGTTCCATTGGAGAGAGCAATTATACCAGTGACATAGTGGAAAAATACTGCACTGGGATTCAGTTCTGGATTCTTAACCTGACTCTGCTATCAGCTAGTTATGTGACTTTGGGCTACTAATAACCAAAGTTTATATAATGATTTTTCTGTAGAAGTTTTTACAGAAAACTTTTAAATACCTTCTCTTATTTTATCTTCATAACAACAATTCAATATTGTTTTCCTTTTTTGACAAACAAGCTCAGGTTCAAAGATGTTGAGGACTTGTGATTCAACCTCAGGTTTTCTGATGGCCTATTCTCTCCATGATTATCACACATCTCTTCCCACCTAAGCACTGTAGGTCTCCTCTTTCATATCTATAAAAGGAGATAGTTAACGATCCTTTCCAGGCCTAACTCTTCATGTTTCTAAATTCAAAAAGTTTATTGGCTTCTCTACTAATTTTTTAATTTAAATTGAGCATATGCTAATTTAGGTAATAATGTAGAGTGTTATTTCTTATGCCTTTCATAACCATAACCATAATCAAAGGAGGCAATCCAATGCCTTGATGGAAGAGTTTATATTAGAAGCTCTGAGCATGTATTTTTTTTTTAACTTTTAAAAGATTAACCTTAGGGATTATGTAGTTTAACCCCAGTTATTTGCAGAGAAGACTGAAGTTCCAAGGCATTAAGTGAAATATCTAGTGACAGAAGTAGGATCAGTATCTGTCTCTTGCCTTCCAGGCTAGTTAATATTCTTTCCATCACACATACTGTGCTGAAACAATGGGAATTCCGGACAAGTGATGAGTGCTGGCACATTCTTTGCATCTGATTGTCAGGACTTCTTGCACAGCTGTAGAATACAAAAGCCTGCACATGCTGGCAAGCAGCATAGTGGGGCAAAACTTACTATGTAACTTCTCTATACTATATAATAAGAAGAGGTTGTGAGCTTATTGTTACTTACTGTTTTTCTGGAAAAAATAACACCAAGTGCAAGTATTCTAAGTCCAAAATCCAAAACAGTGTACATCTGTAAAATTCTTAGACAAAGAGAGGATTTTTAAGTGACTGTTCAACTACTCAATTTCAAAGCAAAGTCTTTTAGTAATAATCTGTGTGCTTTAATTAAAAAAAAAAAAAATCAACAACCAAATGGGTTTATAGATTGTTTCCATTTTTAAATATCTGAACTAAAACCATAACCCAAGAATTACAAATTCAGATGTGTCTAAATGCTATAGAAGTAAAGTAAATGCATGCAGTAGTGACTTGGTAACTGTAAGCCCTTTGCTGCTGTTTGTTTCACCTGATCGTTGCCATGTTGGAATGCAGGCCCAGTGTTAGAAAGTCTTCTGGTTTTTCAAGAAAATCTAGAAATACATATTCTTATGTGAAACTTCCTGATTTTAAAATAAGGTCAACTTAAATTTAAAACCATTTTAAATGTGATATGAACCAGAAACCTCATATCTTTGAGCCACATTTGGCCCTTCAGTTTATAACCTCTGCTTAACAAAAAAAATGTGCTCGGTAATCCATTTAAACATTCCAACAAGATCAAATGGAGCACCCCTTTTAGTCCTGAGGCATTTGGAATTTGAGGTAAGGGAGCCTTGCCAAATGCTTCTGACATTTTCCTTTCAGCATGACCTACATATTACAAATCTTCAGGTGAGGTATAGGGCAGCAATCTGATTAAAGTTTTGAGAATTAGGTATGAACTTTGTTGCTGTAAGTAAAATATTAGGCAATTCTCCTGCTGTTTCCATGTCTCAGAATGCTGCAAAGAGGCTCTGCAGATAGTGAAAAAGATGGAGGGCCCCAGTTTGCAGAAGTGTTTGTCATTGTCTGGTTTGGTGCAGTTACTATCACCCTCAACTCAAAACTTCTTGGAGGAAATATGTGAGTATCATTAAAATGTACCCTTTTTTCTCTTGCTAGGTAGCATATCTTCGATTTTAAGGAAACCAGACAAGTTAGATATTTTTTTAAAAGAAAAATCAAAATAACTGAGGGCCAAAGAGAAAGTTCTCTTAAAATCACTGGACAGAGGTAGCCTAGGTGAATAAAATTATCTTAAATTATCTGGGAATTTTTGATAAGCTTCAGATACTTTCTCCAGTCCCTGAAATCACAGGCAGAATTTTTTTGTGCTAGAAGATTATGTACATTTCGGGGGACAGATGGCCCATTGCTTTCAACAAATTCTCAAATAGGTATGTAAACTGGAAAGGATTAAGAACCACTATTTTAGAAGTTCAGAGAGAAGAGGAGGTCTCTAGGAATTAGAGTAGGTCATCTGGTATTAGATGATTATTGACTCTTAAGGGGTTTAAGAGCAAAGGAGGAAGCATGTGGGGAGAGAAAATTGAGGCTGGCTGGTTAGCTCATTTGGTTAGAGTGCGGTGTTGTAGCACTAAGGTCAAGGGTTCAGATCCCCATACCGGTCAGCTGCTAAAAAAAAAAAAAGCATGTGCTTAGTACAGAGGACTGTTCTCATAAAATTAATGTTAGGGTGTAGGTTTTATGTATCAGGAGGGAGGCAACAATCCATGATCTACAAATCTGTGTAATAAGCTGTGTCCTGATATCCATAAGCTGTATTTATGATCCTTGTGGATGTATGTTGTTTTTAGATCTTTTTTTCAGAGCCTCTGTGTGCTGGGTTACTGTATACTTCCTTTGACAGTGGCAATGCTGGTTTGCCGGCTGGTACTTTTGGCTGAGCCAGGACCCGTAAACTTCATGGTTCGGCTTTTTGTGGTGATCGTGATGTTTGCCTGGTCTATAGCTGGTAAGTATATACTTATCTCTACAGTAGAAGAGCAGACAAAAACATGAGTTAAAGATGAAGACCAGATGAGAGGCAGTGTAACTCCAAAGTCAGATGTGAGTGATATTTCTCCCAGTATCATCCATAGAACCCTGTGCTCTAAGTAGGGCATTGATGGGGATGGGTTGGTGTCCATATTATATAAGTTAGGTTTCTGGACTTATGAGATGTGGAGAGTTATATCTTTTTTTTTTTTTTCCCCCTTAAATAATGGACAGGATTGGGAAAGTAGATTACACTAGATTCAGCTCAGTCCTGGTATATACGATGCATAGGTGACTTGTGAAATGACTTGGGCCTTTTCCTGACAAACTAATCATAATAAAAATAATAGGTAGCATTTAGGAATTGTTTATTATAGGCCAGGCACTGTTGTAAATGCTTTATATATATATATATATATACATACACACACATATTATCTCATTTAACCCTCATGGCAACCCTAATAGATAAATAATATTATTAGTCCTATTTTATAGATGAGAAACAGTCACAGAGAGGATAAGCACCTTGCCCTAGGACACATAACTAGTGAGTAGGGGGGTCAAATTTCAAACCCAGGGGGATCATGCACCCTTAAGGACCATACTATACCACTTTCCAGTGTACGTTGTAGGTATCATTATACTTTTCTGCTTCAATAGAAAATTTTGCTAAAGATTAGGAAGGGTCTATAGCAGTAGCAATGAATGCTATGTGTTCATTGTTTTTACACTTCTAAAATTCTCTTAAAGTTCCAGCTTAAACTAGAAATGTTCTCTAGCTTCTGATTTAATGGGATAGAGACACTGCCTGATATTTTTAAGTGCAGTGACATCTCATTGCTCTGGAACATGGTTGAAAGCTAAGAAATAATCAAAAAAGGTCTGAGAGAGCCAGAATTGATGTTCCAAAGACTGTATGTTAAGCTTGAGTGCTTTACCCATGGGAGAGACCCTCATTCCCTCACTTAGAGTCTGATAATTACCATACATGTAGTTCTCACTAGCTTAGTTATCCAGTGTCCAGACCCACACCAGATCAGAAAGTAAACTCTTGAGAGAGAGAGGCTTTAATTCAGCAAATGTTTATTAATCACAAACTATGTGTCAGGCACTGTGCTAGGCATGGTCTCTGTCCTTGGAGTTCACATGTAGTAGAGCATCCAGACATGAAAACATTTAAGGGCAGTAGTGTTCCAGTGGGAGATGGAAGTCTGTGCAGGGTATAGTGGAGACACAGAAGAGGGAAGTGGGCAGTTCTGTCTGGGGTGACAGGATGCCAGATGATTGTTCATGAAAGATTTCCTGAAGAGGTGATCTTTGAGTAAAAAGATGAGTAGGTTTTTCTTGGGTGGATAAGAGGGATGGCATTTAAAAGAGCTGATAAAAAGAACAATTAACTGAAAAATGAAGACATTTACCATAGGAGCAAATATCCTTACACATCTTTATAAGCCTGTTCATCACAGTTCAATAACTTTTCAGAAAAGGGTAAGAAACCCCATTTAGAAAGGTTTCCGTCCAAAATGGTACTTATTTAGTACTTGAAACAAGAAGCCCTTAGCTGTCTGGTAAACTATGCTGCAGAATGCCTTTTTCTCTGAGGATTATAAATATGATTATGCCAATCACATTAAAGTTTAATAAATGTTAGTAGTTGTGACAGTATTACTGTATTAAATATTCCTTTTTGTTTTGTCTTGTTTTGTTCAGCCTCTACAGCTTTTCTTGCTGATAGCCAGCCTCCAAACCGTAAGGCCCTTGCCGTTTATCCTGTTTTCCTGTTCTATTTTGTCATCAGTTGGATGATTCTCACATTTACTCCTCAGTAAATGAAGAAATGGAAATTAAAAACCAGTGAATTGAAAACTCATCTGAAAGATGCAATTCACCATGGAGCTTTGTCTCTGGTCCTCTTTTGTCTAATTATGGAGGTATTTGGTAACTGGGTAGATGAGGAGAATAAAAGGGAGCCGTACAGCACTGTTGCCACTTATGTAAGGAGCTGATATTTGAAAGGCTGTCCTTTTCCGCTTAATGTTATTATTTTTTTTTTAAATACATGTGCATACTACACACAGTATAATGCCTCCTTAAGGCATGATGGAGTCACTGTGGTCTATTTGGGTGGCAACCGATGACTGAGAAAGCACATGGATACATCCTCCAAGTTGAATGGAATTGGTTACTATTTTCAGTTTTGAGAATACCAGTTCAGGTGCAGCTCTTAAACACATTGCCTTATGACTATTAGAATATGCCTCTCTTTCATAAATAAGAATGGATAGTCCATCTATTTTCTTTTACTTCTCTTAAGCCAAAAAGGCAATGACAGGTTAAGAGGGGAAGCTCATAGATGTGAGAGGATAAAATGTGCATTAACCAATATTCAGATTTGATCAGAGGAAATTCTACACTTGTTGCTTTAAAAAAAAAAAAGCAAAGGACATTTAAAGAATCAGTCTCTTTGGTCTTTTTGTATAGTCACCTTTCTGCCATGCTTAACAGCACTTCAGTTGGCACTCCAGTTTTTAATCTTGCTCCCTAGCTCTGAATATGCAACCTAAAATGTTAGCAGTCAACATGTAATTTTCCTTTGACTGAAATTTTCAGTGGTCTAATGCTGGAGCTAATCCAAATAGAAGACCTCAGAAATTTAGATTGGTAGGTCTCAAATGCATATTGTCATGTAGGCAGCTTCTCTTAAGGGTGGAATGAGACAGTTTGGATACAGCATAGCTATAAGGAATTCTTTATTATTCTGTGTAGTCTGGCCTCTAACTAGAAAGTAAAAAATCAGACGCCTGCATTCAACAATGTGAACATGGAGGGATTTAGTGTTCTGATGACTGATTAACAGAACAGCTAGATGCTTAGAGCATGACGTAGGATGAGTTGCATTTATAGCTGCTGCCTTTTCATAGTGGACTTAGCAGTTTTTTCATAGACCTGTTTTTGGGGTTGGGAAATAATTTATTTTTTTGGTTTTAGACTTTTTTAATAAAGCTAATTTAGCCCTTTAGACAAGTACATTTTGCACATGTGCACCTACTTGTACTCACAGATATTTATGCACACAAGTGTGAAGGTTTTTCAGGGAGCAGAGTGTCTGGGACAGGCTGATTCTTAGCTAAAAAGGGCTCCTTTAAGGTAATATGAGCTGTCGCCGTCTATAAATTGCACATTGAAGAACTCTAATAATTAGAGATTCAAAATCAGGCAGAAAACAGTCATTGTAAATATACAGTTACTTATAAAGATAGGAATTTCTTAGTCCACATTTTTTTCTTTATCATAGAATTTAAATATTCATTTTGTATTGAAAGACTACCTACACATAGACATACAATTCTAAAAATTAATTTTCTCCATCCGCAGATTAACCAAGTGAACAATACTAAGCCAAAGGGTTCTTGGAATGATATTCAATTACAAAGCATGACAAAGTTGGTCCCCTGTGTTCCTGCTTTGTCCAGAGTTTTTGGTTATATATTTGCATTTATTGCAATTTACCTTTTAAATTGTAAGACAAAGCTCATGTTTCAGTCTTGAATTGGTAAAGAAAATATTTTGAAACTGATCCCATGTTTCAGTCTTGAATTGGTAAAGAAAATATTTTGAAACTGATCCTAATTTTGAAATTGGTCTTAAGTTATCATCCATTTCCATTGTCTGAAATTTTCTAACTTCCCACTAAAAATATCTCTTTCCCAATGTTATTTTATAATCTGTCCCAGTGATTATAATGCACTAGTAGAGAAGTAACCATGCTGCTCAAAGGAAATTAAGTCTTTACTTAATTTTACTCAAGCTAAACATTTGGTCAGAGAGGCCTAAGGTGACCAGTTTGGGGGTTTCTTTGTGTGTGCAATGGAAGATGGGTTATACATATGGGGTATTAAGGCAGCTTGTTCTATGTATTAATCTGTTGCCCTTGGGTGATTTAGGGAATGGTTTTATGTGATTTAAATGAAGGTGAATAAAATGGAGGTTTAATTATCTATTTATGAAAGTACGTGGTCAGTTTGAAGATATAAATAAATATTTTCTTAATATATGAAAAAAGAGTGCATTGCTTTCTGTGCCAGAAGATTTGAATGTCTGAAAGTTGTAATCCTCAACACAGCTTTTTCTGATTTGCTGCAAAGGTGCATGGCTGATTATAGAAATGAGGACTAGAAGGGGAGGGGACTCCAACAAAGGAAACCCTGTTGCAGGAATTGGGAAGTTTCATGCTTCAGATGAAATTCAAGCATGTGAGCATCACTTTAGAATGTGGTGTATCACTGCTGTCATGAATGATCACTTACTGCTCCTACTTCTAAGGCTGAGACTCCATTGTCATATTCTTTAGCAATAGGAAGGGTGAAGACTGGATTTAATTGCTGTTCAGATTATAAAAACTCAGTTGATACCAACATATTTGAATGTGCAGTATGGTCTTAAACGTCAACCATTAGTCCTTTGCCTCTTAAGAGGTGTATTACGGGAATTGAATTTGATCTTTTCATTGTGGTGAGGTTTTTCTGTTGTTTGACGAGGTGAGGTGCATGGGACTGTTAAGCATTTTACTGTTTACTGTATTTGTCTTTTTATGAGCAGTATCACTCAAAATGTGATTAGAGGTCTAGCAAGCCTTTATTTGGAGATTAAATTGTGTACTTTATATAATCTAATTACTTACTGTATTTGGACTGTCTGTTTATTCCTGGAGATGAAAATGAAAATCTCCTGTCAGTTCAAATTCTTGGGTAACATCAAGTCACTAGAATTTATCTAAAGCTTATATTGATTTGATAAGACATCCATTGCATGCAGCTGTTTTAGTCCAGTGTAAAACATTGAAATTGTGATTCTTAGACTAGTTTCTGAGACATTTGGATGGAAATAAATGTATGAATGTTAATCCATGTATGTAAATTAGAAACAATTTTCTAGATTCTGTCATCTTTTATTAAAAGCAGAGAATTTCTAGGTATTTACTTAGGCCATAGGATGGCCAAATAGTAATAATGACAATGATATTACAAATAATAATAGCTAACATTTATTGGGCACTTATTGTGTGCCAGACACTATTCTATATTTTTAATAATTTTTTATAACAGCTTTATTGAGATCTGCTTTACCATGAAATTCACTCTTTTAAAGTGTACAATTCAGTGGTTTTTAGTATATTCACAAAGTTGCACAATCATTATTACCACTATCTAATTTTAGAACATTTTCATCACTCCACAAAGAAACGGGGTACTCACATTCCCCCTTAACCTCAGCCCCTGACAACCACAATCTGCTTTCTGTCTCTATTGATATGGCCAGGTACTATTTTTCAGTGCTTTTCATGCATCTCCCCTAATCCTTGACATAGAGTGCTGCAGTTCTCATTTTATAAGTAGGAAATTTAGGCACAGAAGGGTTAAGTAAATTGCCCAAGGTCCCACAGTGAATTGATTTACAATAGGAATACCACATTAGATGAGAGCATAGTAAGACACAATTTTGAATTACATTATTATCTACATGAAATGAATATACTCCTTCCCCAGTGTATATTTTCTGTTATTAGCCTTTGTACCCTAAAACTGACTGGAGGTAGATAACACTTGTTCTTTTACCTGAGTAATGGGACACTCTGATCAGCAGCATCTGGGAACACAAGAGCAGTCGTACATTGGGAAGAGAGGTTTGCTGCCCTTAACCCTCCTTGAGCCCTTTTTCTCTCCTTTCCCCTTCCACCACACCCATATATCCCTTTTTCTCAAAGTCTTAAGAATAAAACAAACTTTGCCTCTTTCTTTTTAATTCTCCCAGAGGGATGGTTAATACATCCAAATTTAACTTGTCTTTTCAGGTTTTATAGTCAAGGGTTGTATCTGGTAGCTTATAGTACCAGTTATATTCCTAAGACCTCAACAGTAGTGCAAGAATAGAACACCTTTCTGTTTGGGTTAAACTAGGTGGCAGGAAGAAATAACAGAGTAGGCTTTGCCTTAATGAAGTCAGTGTTCCTGCCTGGTAGGAAGTGACCACATGCTGCTTTTGTTCACTTTGTTCTCCTTTCAGAGCCTTTGTACTCTGTGCTGTCACTGCTGGTAATTTCTTGGTCCTCTTCAGCACTCCATTTTAATCCTGATCTTTCCTATAAATTATAAACCTGTGAAAAGAAGTCTGTAAAATGATTTGTGAATGTTAAATGTAAAAATAAAAAACACTGGAAAAGGAGAATTTGTGTATGCCTATCCTTGTGCTGAAGGCACAGAGATATTTGCTGCATACTGATTTCAGATACAGTACGTTGTCATCAGATAATATTGAATGCTGTGTAGGATTGCACAGGGAGCATGTTAAAAAGGGAATTCACATTTATTGAGCAAATACTAAGAGGTTACTTCAAAACCTTTGTGGAAAGTAGAATTAAAATATAATATGAATCCTTCCATGAACTTTCTGAAGTACCCTCGTATATGCTAGGCACTTTACTAGCTGCTTTTAAAACAGTATCTCCTTTAATCACACAGTAGCCTTTTGAGATCAGTGGCATTATCCTTATCTTAAATTTGAAAAACCTGGGGCTTAGAGAGGTTAGATAAATTGCCCAGTCACATAACGAATGGTACAACCAGAATTCAAACTCGGGTTTTATGATTCCAAAGCCTCTTTTTCCTACAACAGTTCCTTGCCAAATTAAAACCATACCTGCCCATTTAAATGAAGCTAAGCCAGGTCAATCAGGCAAGGTAGGAGCTTGGTGAGGAAATGAGCTTTCAGCCTTCTGCTGGGGACTATACCTGTTCCCGCTCTTAATTTATTATACTCTACTTGGAGAAACCAAATTTCCTGCCACCCTACATACATAATAGTTGAAAAATGTCATGGTTCTTATATTTGGCACTACGTAAAATATCAGAGTGATCAGTGAAAACAGGAGGAAGTCTTTGAAGTAGTGAGAGAATTTGTGTCATCCAAGAGGAGATGAGGCAGGACACTCCAAATGGTAGAGAGTATTTATGAGCAAAGGTAAGAGTGAGCAAGCAGGTCTGTAAAGCTGTCCATGCACATGTGTGAGACTGTGGCACATTGTCCTGCACATAATCACAATGCTTTGTGACACTTCATTTTCCAGCTACCTTTATATATTTTATTTCACTTTGAGAAGTAGGTAAAGCTGATGAGCATGTTTTATAGCTAAGGAAATAGGCTCAGAGAAGTGAAGTAGTGAAGTAATATGCCCTGGGTTACAAAGCCAGTCTCAAGAATGCAATTGGAAAGTTGTTCTTCATATGAGTATAATCCTGCCTTTTCTAATGAGAACTCAGATATTGAAGTGAATTCAACTGAATTGGGAAATTAAAGTGAGTTGGCTAAGATGAGAGCAAATTATTGAGGGTGGGTATTGAAAACCAGGTAATTGTGAAGATAAGTCTTACTGTGGTGGGAAATAGGGTGCCTTCAGGGGAATATCTTGATGAAAGTGACTTCAAAGGAATAAATGAGGAAATGGTGGGAAATTGGATTGGGAAGAAAGTGAAGGGAGGAAGGGGGTGCCAATATATTTTTGATCTGTAAGCCTCTGAAGCCTGGAAGAATGGTGTGCTTCTGAGAACACTTGTGGAGGTGCTGACTCTGGCTATCAAAGTGTTGATATCCTACAGACAACTGGAAGTATGTGTGGAGGGTAATAGAAGTCATACCTAGAAATGTAAATTTGAGCTTACATATGCAATGACTGTTGAGAGGACATGGTGTCCCAGACAATCTTGATGACAACCATAGTTTCTACAGGGCAAGACTGAAAAGGAACCAGAAAGATGAGTAGATGGAAGTGAAGAAGGTAAAACTTACCTATCTGCCATGGATTTTCACCTGCTAGCTTCATCTAAGACTAACCCTATGAGGTTGTTACCATCATTTCTTCAGAGGAGGAAAAAGTTTGGATTCAATTTATTGCCCACAGTAAGTGGCAGAGATGGAATGTGAACATAGGTCTGTCTTGACTCCAAAGCCTTTGCACTTTCTGCTAAGCTGTCTTACTCTTTCAGAAAATTTTTTGCCTTGCAAAGTAGGTGTTCAGGAAATATGTTGAATTAGTTAAAAGAAAAGTGGGTAGTAATAGCTATTACAAGCTCATTGGGGGATGTGATAAAAAATGAGAATTGAGAAAATGTATTTGGTTAGAAGGCTGTGGTAAATTGACTGCAATTGTGGTCCCAATATTTTACCGCTCTCTGAATCCATGCCCTTTGCCCTGTGACTTTGCAGTTCCTCTCAGTAAAAGGCAGAACCTATTCCTCCACCCCTTACATCTAGCTGGCTCTTATGGCTTGCTTTTGCCTAAAGTGGCAGAAGTGTGCCGGTTGTGCCAGTTGTGACCCTGAGACTGGAGGCTTTGTGTGTTTCCATTTGTCTCTCTTGTTTCTCTGCCAGATCTGTGGGAGCATGCTAAGTTAGCCTGTTGGACATATGGAACAGAGAGCCCAGTCACCCCAGCCATAGCCATCCTAGATCAGCCCATAACTGAATGACTGCCAGACATCTGTGTGGGCCTTCCTTGACCAGAAGAACTTTTCAGCTGTACCTAGCCTAAATTGCTGACCCACAGATTCAAGAACTAAATCAATGCTTGTTGTTTTAAGATACTGAATTTTGAGTGCTCTGATATGCAGCATTTGTAGTGGCAATAGATAACTGGATACCAATGCCTTTTAAAAACTTATTTTTGAGGAGGCAAGGTCGCAAAAGTATTGATAGATAGGAGATAGAGGCACTGAACATTGGTTCCTTATTTGTAGAGTCATATCAGCCACAGAACATTAGAGATTAAAGGAATTTTAGGGATAATTGATTTAGTTTGCTCATTTTGCCAATGAAAAACTGAGGCTTGGGGACGGAAAGTCACTTACCCAATGTTGTTGGAAGGAACCAGACTAAAACTTAATTTTCTTCATTTCTGGTCCACTGTTCTTTTTACCACAGGAGAGCAGAGTAGGTAAAAGGACAATAATCTAATGCCAAAAACCCAACAAAACAAAACAAAACCACGTTTTTTTTTTTTTTTTTTTTTTAGTCAATAGATAGGAGCATATTTAACAGTGAAAAAGGAAGGAGCTTATGAGAAAAGAGTGATACGCTCCAAGGAAAAGGGTTTTTTGAGGGAGCAACACCCTAATGGAGGTGAAAAGGACTGGAATTCAGAATTCAGTTGGTAGATTTAGCTTTAGAGAAAGGAGAGAAACCTTGTGAGGTGGAAGGGGAGAATGGGTGTCTAGATACATGGATGATGAAGTGTTCACACATTCAGCCAGCTAGTTGAACATTCCACTATGCTGGATATTGAGGATTCAAAAATGGCTAAGACACTGGTCTCTGCTGTCTGTACTATCTCCCCATAAATACAGCTTTTATAGTTCCAACCATGTGGCATGCTGAGAATGAAGGGCAGTCAAGCCAAGGAAATAATGGGAAGCTAACAGGCAGCAGTGGTAGCCATGGGCATGAGTAATATGTTGAGTGGTTGGAGTAGGAAGGGGTGGAAGGGCGACTGAAAATTGAAATCAAGAACTCAGCTAATCTAGTCCAGGCAGGTATCCGGAGTCCAGGAAGAAACATGCAGGGTAGTGGAATGGTGACATAGCTTTGGAACCAAGGGTGGGAGTGTGTTCTCTAGCTGTCATCCGGATGCTACCCTGCTGTCATCTAAACTTCTCAGAAAAAGCTTGTATATACTCATGTTCACTCCTTAACCAACTGCAGTCTGGATTCTCTGCCCAAACTTCAGTGACACTGCTCTTACTAAGAACACTAGTGATCTCCTAATTGCTAAGTCCTTATCCTACTCTGCTGCACTGATGCTATTGATCACTCCTATTCCTTCTGGAAACTTTTTCCACTCTGGTCTTCCATGACATCAAACTCTCCTAGTTCTCATAA